ACATGTATCGAATTTGACACACAAAACAAAGGGCCGAAGACCAGAGCACGTTCCCGCATATAGTGAAATTTTATTTGAGCCTAGACAACCCAACTCACGTCTTTAAACCTTTGACAAATTTAAAAGGACTTTATCTTAGTCTGATTCAGGCTCGAAGAAAAGAAAAGAAAAGAAAGAGTGAGCAACGAATTTGCAAGCATATACGAACATCAAGAGAATCCAAGTTGCTTCAATCCCTTAGGAAGCAATACCAGTATGCTCACTATTTGCCGACGACTTGACCCTGATGGTGGACGCATCACACACATTGATGGCTGAGGTACAACACATGCTGAAGAAGTTTTGTGCCCTCTCAAACATGAGAGTCAATTGCGGGAACAAAACCTTAGGGTGGTGGATCCACAATCAAGGAGTCAGGTTTCCGGAGCAGCCAAGGGTTAAATGGTTACCCAACGAGGCCCCCATCCGGGTCCTTAGAATTTCACTAACAGCAAATGGTAGACCATAAGTAAACAATGAAAGGCTGCTCAAAACACCTCTGGAAAAGTTGATACAGTGGAAGGAGAGACACACCTCACTAATGGGGCGCTCTTTGGTGATAAACGACGTGGCGCTTGCCTCCCTGTGGTACAAATTGGTCATCTGGACGCTAGATAAGACAGCCCTCCGCTCACTGCAACGACAAATAATCACATTTCTATAGCACGGGGACCATGAAAAACACAAGGGTGATCAACAGGGTTGCATAGCAATCCATAATCCAGCCAAAAGCCAAAGGTGGACTGGGCATAATTGACCCTGTAATACAAACCAAAGCTTTGGCAATACAATGGCTCAAACGACCTTTGTTTTGCCTTGACATCCCATGGAAGGGGCTAGCCCTAGAACAAATCTCAAGATTGGCCCCAGAAACAACATTTAATATCAATCGTCTAACATGGTTAGAAAACAGGGGCTGGCCAATACCGAGAGGACACTTTCGACGACAGAACCCGAACTCCCCAAGGGAATAGGCGAGGGAGGATCTGCGAAATGATCACTTCTGGCCATCCCTTCTGAGGACATAGAGTAACCTTCCCCTGCCTGACAAAATTCACCCAGAGAGATGAGACGAAGTATTACGACAACCCCATTTCAAAAACAGGAGGATCGTCGACACCAAGGGGCAGGTCCCCCTGGCGTGTACGGGTGAAGAGGGGCGTACTCAGAATAAGAGATATCTGGGATACAACCACGAATGACGGGATCGACCAAGACCTGCTCAAACAAAAACTGAGATATAGCCATATATCAGAAACTCCAATCGAAGACAAAATAAAAAGGATCCCCCTGAGCTGGTGGAAAATACTCAAGAAGGGACCCCCTTTGCAGGAATCCGACTGGGTGCAAATCCCGGGCAGTCTGGGAGAGCTAGGCAATGTAGTATATTGCAGCCCGAAAGGGCCCGTGTAGTCAACATATTTAAATTGGGCAACGACAACACCCTACATAGACCTGCAACAGAAGAAACACGGTCTTACCAAAACGAGGAACTATCACGAATCAGAGTGCTGGAAAACGGGGATAAATGGATTGCCTTCCTCCCAAACACCCCGATCGCTCAATTGCCACTTAACCTTGTGGAATGGACATGTACATCTTCCTTCGGGAGGGGCAAGACATGCAACAGAAGATTTCATAGCATAACAGTCAAATCAACATACATATTGCTCCGTCCCACGACCTGTGTAGCATCGTGTTCAGGTTCGGTGACCGAACCCGAATGTTCGCGACCGGACGCGACCAAGCGCTAAAACCTCCCGAACGCGAACATAAAAAAAAAACAGAAAAGTTCTCAGAAAAATCTGAAAAAAAAAATATGTTATGTAAAATAATAAAATAAACAACTTTTGCCTTGGAGGTATGCTCAAATTTGTAACCAAACTCGAGTAAAAAACCAAAGAAAAAAGTTTTCTTTTTTTTTTAATATGTTCGACCGAACACGTTCAGGGGGAGTTCGGTCGAACACCCGAACATGTTCGGACGTTCGGAAAACCTCCGAACATGTTCGGTGTGCTACACAGCCCACGACTAATCTACGGGACCGGGTAGAGGCTAGATGGATGAAGCATCTAAACATACTCAAGGCATCTCTCCTGAAGGTCAAATGGTTTCAGCTAGTTAAGACGAAACCTGCAAAACTGGCCTCTCTCCAATGGCAGGTAGAGCACCGTTGTTTACCAACGAATGATTGGCTAATAGACAGGACATCCTTAGAACAAAGTGGACGAGCTCTATCTTGGTGCAAACTATGCTCCAATTCCTTCCCATCTAGGAAAAGGCCAGAAATGATAGAACATATTTTCCTATAATATCCGGGAGCCATCTGGCTCTGCCGCTGGTGGGATAGAGTCTGAGACCAGCTTGAAGTAACGGCACCCTGGCCATGGGATTGAAGAGCGCTGCTACTAGAAACATGGCCTGCAGAACAGGTGGATGACTTCACTCATCACTCGTAACATCTTTGAACTGGGACGTAGGGCAGTGCTATGGGCACTTTGGAGACGCCATTGCACATATGAGATGGAAGGGGTGCGACTGGAAGGCCCCGAATTCACTGAAAACATACACAACAAATCCAAACAGAGATAACAACGCACTGGGAAGATGTCAAAGCCCAAATTCATCATACACATACACAACAGGAAATAGACCAAAAATTACAAGATTTCTGCACAAGATCGCTTGGGGGGAAAAACGGGGGAAAGATAGGGAAGGTGGAAAGGAATAAAAAGAACGGTGTTCAAGGGAGGGATCAAGAGGAGAACGGGCTGAGCAAAGACTACAGGCTAAGTTTCCATGAATGGACCAACCACAACCCCAATGAGACCGGCAGCTGACTCCCTGACCCCCTCCCCCCTCCGTCCAACAGTCTGGTCGAATTGAGGTGGTACGGGAGCTAGAGAGGAAGGGGGGAGTAGTGAAACAGACAATGAGCATGGGGGTCCTGGCATCAATAAAAACGTGTATCATACATCGTTAGACATCATAAGGAATTGATAGTTGAGACTGGGGCTGGTAGGGGGAGGGAGGAACGAGTGTGAAGCAGTAGGTATCTGGCACCCGGTTCAGGGTGAAGACGTCAGGGTGAAGAGGTTCCCCCTTCCTTCTAATATCCTGCTCAGTCAATCCTCAGGATCCCAGGGTAATCAATGCTGGCAGGAATCTCCCACAATTGTTTTTCTGACGTATTCCAAATGCAGTCTGTAAATGGGACGCTGGACCCGTTTTCCAGCAGGTGATGCTCCCCACCAATAGATGGAGCCTCTCCCCAGGTGCTAATGGTGTCTGCTGTTATCAGCACCACTAACACTGGTGGGGGCGTTTAAAAAAAAAATTAAAAAATCTGGGTTAGGCCGACACCCGGTCCAGACGGACCGGACCAGACGGACTGGGGGGAGTTCGTCTGGCAAAACCAGACGAGCCAAAGAACATGCCAGGAATTTTTATTTTTATTTTTAAAGATGGGATTGGACCGCGCTCGCTGAGAGGAGCCCAAATCCGCAGAGAAACTTGTGAAAGGCATGTGTGTTGGGGGAGGGAGGGGAAGTTTGACGGGAGGGGGGAGGGGGGGGGTTGACAAGGGGGTAAAAGGGTGTGTTGCAGCGGCCAGTCCGCTGAGGGGAGGGGTTAGAGGCGCGGGAGGAAGAAGAAGAAGAAGCCGCCACATCCTTTGTCTGCTCTCGTCCTTCCAGACCCGCCCCTCCCCCCGCTAACGCCGCTACCACTGCCCGAAAGTAGGTGAAGGAGGAGGAGAGGAGGAGGAGGAGGAGAGAAGGACAAGACGAAAGGAGGAGGAGGAGGAGGAGAGAAGAAGAAAAAGAAGAGTAGTAGTAGTAGGAGGAGGAGGAGGAGGAGGACCTGCCGGTAGTGTATGGGGATGACAAAAAAAAAAAAAAGAGGACTATGGAGGAGGAGGAGGAGGAGGAGAGAAGGAGAAGACTGAAGACGAAAGTAGGTGGAGGAGGAGGAGGAGAGGAGAAGAAGAGTAGAGGAGGAGGAAGAGAAGGACGAGGACCAGAGGACAAGACGAAAGGAGGAGGAGGAGGAGAGAAGAAGAAGAAGACGAGAGGAAGGAGCAGGAGGAGGAGGAGGAGAGAAGGACAAGACGAAAGGAGGAGGAAGAGGATAGAAGAAGAAGAAGACGAGAGGACGAGGAGGAGGAGCATGAGGAGGGAGACCTGCCGGTAGTGTATGGGGATGACGAAAAACAAAAAGAAAAAGAGGACAATGAGGGAGGACGAGGAGGAGGAGGAGAAAAGAAGAAGAAGAAAGTAGGTGGAGGAGGAGAGAAGAAGAAAAAACGAGAGGAGGAGGAGGAGAGAAGGACAAGGAGGAGGAGGAGGAGGAGGAGAGAAGAAGAAGAATAGGAGGAGGAGGAGGAGGACCTGCCTGTAGTGTATGGGGATGACGAAAAAAAAAAAAAGAGGACTATGGAGGAGGACGAGGAGGAGTAAAGAAGGAGAAGACTGAAGACGAAAGTAGGTGGTGGAGGAGGAGAGGAGAAGAAGAGTAGAGGAGGAAGAGGAGGACGAGGACGAGAGGACAAGACGAAAGGAGGAGGAGGAGGAGGGAAGAAGAAGAAGACAAGAGGAAGGAGGAGAGGCAGGAGGAGGAGGACCTGCCGGTAGTATATGGGGATGACGGGAAAAAGAAAAAAAAAGACGAGGAGGAGAAGGAGAGAAGGAGAAGATGAAAGTAGGTGGAGGAGGAGGAGAGAAGAAGAAGAAGACAAGAGGAGGAGGACGAGGAGAAGGAGAGAAGGAGAAGACGAAAGTAGGTGGAGGAGGAGGAGGAGAGAAGAAGAAGAAGACAAGAGGAGGAGGAGGAGGAGAAGAAGGAGAGAAGGAGAAGACGAAAGTAGGTGGAGGAGGAGGAGGAGGAGAGAAGAAGAAGAAGACAAGAGGAGGAGGACGACGACCACGACAATAAAGAAAACCAATGAAATCGGGACGGGGAGGAGGAGGAGGAGGAGGAGAAGAAAGGAGGAGAAGAAGACCAAAGGAGGACGAGGTGGATGAGGAGGAGGAGGAGGAGGAGGAGGAGGAGGAGAGAAGAAGACGAAAGGCGGAGGAGGAGAAGAAAGGAGGGAGAGGAGATAAGAAGACGAAAGGAGGAGGAGGAGGAGGAGGAGGACGATGACGAGGAGGAGAAAAAAGGAGGAGGAGGAGGAGGAGAAGAAAGGAGGAAGAGGAGAGAAGGAGACGAAAGGAGGAGGAGGAGGAGGACGAGGAGGAGAGAAGAAGACAAAAGGAGGAGGAGAAGGAGAGAAGAAGATGAAAGGAGGAGGAGGAGGAGGAGGAGGAGGAGAGAAGAAGATGAAAGGAGGAGGAGGAGGAGAGAAGAAGACAAAACGAGGAGGAGGAGGAGGAGGAGAGAAGAAGCCGAAACGAGGAGGAGGAGGAGGAGAGAAGAAGATGAAAGGAGGAGGAGGAGGAGGAGAGAAGACAAAAGGAGGAGCAGGAGGAGGAGAAGAGGAGGAAAGGAGGAGGAGGAGGAGGAGAGGAGGAGAGGAGGAGAGGAGAAGATGAATACGAAAGGAGGAGGTGGAGGAGAGGAAGAAGAAGAAGAAGAGGAAGGAAAGAGGTGGAGGAGGCTTCACCACGATGGCAACAGCAGCTTCAAGGGCAGCAACGACGGGCAGGGCTTCTCGAGGGGGAGCAACGACAAGAAGCTCGACGAGGAGGAGCAGCGACCACGGGCAGGCTTTGCGGCGGCAGCGACGGCGGGCGGGCTTCGCGGCGGCAGTGACGACGGGCGGCTTCGCAATGGCAGCAACGACGGGCTTCACACAGAGGAATACCGCGTTCAAATTCGAACGCGACATCGTAGCCCGCCAGAGGGGGAACCCATTTCCTGGCGGCTGATCTCAGCCACTGATCTTTGCAGATCGGCGACTGGGATCAGTCGCCGAAGAAGACCTTCCCCGCCCCCTAAAACTGGTCGTAGATCAAAATCCAAAAAAAAAAAATTGTGTTCCTGGAGGCTGGGGAGGCGACCACTAGCCGAAAAAGCCCTCCACCCCCCCCCCCACGCAAAATTGTGCTGGGATCGTCTGGCCCCAAACCGGGGCACCCGGGACCCCTGCCAGACAAAGGCCAGGCCACCAGATGGTCCGGAGTTTAACACAGAAAAAAATAGAAAAGGATGCTCAGCAAGAGCGACGCTTGCACCTGCTGCTGCCACAACACAGTAGCAGCAGCAATTACCCAGCAGCAGCAGCCATAGCAGCAGCAGCAGCAATTACCCAGCCACATATTAGCTAGCCAAGTGCCTTGGAAGGCGCACAACAGCAACAACCTGAGTACCGTCGGGATGTGTACATGTCTTCTAGTCAGAAGCAACCTCACTCTTCGCAATTGCAAATAGAGCAGAAGGAAGAGAGAAGGCAAAAAAAGCAGCAGCAAACAAATTGCGCAGCAGCAGCAGCAGCAAACAGTACACGCCCACGCAATATATCCCCTCCACGTTCCTGCCAGCCAACAACACTTACTAGCTGTGCCATACGTCACTGCCATGCCTTCTGTCATCCTTCTACCGCTTTTCTTCTTATTCTTCTTGTTGGTAAGAGAACCACGGGGATTGAGGCTTTGTAGGCGACTGCTCCATCTATTGGTGGGGAGCATCACCTGCTGGAAACCGGGTCCAAGCGTTCCTTTTGGAAAAACCATGAGATAATTTGAGAGGGAACACAGGTGCTGGAAACCGGGTCCAGCGTCTCATCACTGTCTATCCTGCATGCCTAGAAATGAGGCCCAAGGCCAGGGCCCAGCCAGGGCCTCTGGGGGGGGGCCCAGTGGTCCCTGTCTGCTCCCCGGCCCGCCTTCCAACAGGCTCTGGCTATGCTAACTGCACTAGATGTGCTACCTGCTGGTTTGTTCTACCTATGCTGAGAACCGGGCTCAGTGTCCCTCCTCCTCCTCCTCCTCCTCCTTCTTCTTCTTCTTCTTCTTCTTCTTCTTCTTCTTCTTCTTCTTCTTCTTCTTCGTCGTCGTCGTCGTCGTCGTCGTCGTTATCGCCTTCTTCTTCGTCTTCGTCTCTGTCTCCATCTTTGTCTTCGTCTTCTTTCCAAACAACGCAGCGTTGATGGACCGATCTGTGGTCGGTGACAAGAGCATTCTTCATCAGATGAGCCCCACCCGTTAACAAGAGCATTYTTTATCAGACGAGCCCCACCAGTTATGATGTCTCCGGTCTGTCGGTGGGGGAGCTGCCGCTGCTCGAAACCAGCGCCCACGTTTGCTTAGCTTATATCTTTCGTTCTTTTTTTTTTTCTTTTTTTTCTTTTTTGAAAACCCGCTTGCAAGGCCTCTATCGCAGCAGTGGTAAGAGAACCACCAGGATTGGGGTTTTGGGCGTTGGGTTGCTCCATCTATTGGTGGGGAGCGGCACCTGCTGGAAACCGGGTCCAGCGTCCCTTAGAACAACAATAGGATACAATGCTGGGGTTGTGGCCATTTGCACTTCTCCTGTAGASCACCCTCTATCCCATGGAGCTGCTAATGAACCCTTCCCTTGTGGGACTCCTAATCATCTGGCCCAGCCTGCACCTAGAAGATGTCTGCTGTTCTTTCCTGTTCCTAGGTCTTGTGGGAGACCTACTCCCAGATCTGGCGGGATCCCCTACATATCTTCTCCGAACTGCTTGATAACCTCGACATAAGATGGAAGAACTGGAGGGCAGACAAACCCTCATGGCAAAGACGACCATTGCACGCCTTTGCGGTCTCGTACCTCCCGACAAATTTCCTTTTGATCCCCCTGGATCCCCATCCCGCACTGGACCCTACCCCACCCCTGCAGTAACCCCCCCTCTTTCCGCCTGCTACCCACATTACCATCGCCCTCTGACTCACCTCCACCCCTCCTTTCTCTGCCAACCCGCCTTCCTGCCTTCCTACTGCCGTTACCGATGATGGGGACAACTGGACACCTGGTGGCCACTGTACTGAACAACCAGTATGAGGACAGGATTGCCAGCTTGCATGGGCATGGGAGAGTACAAATATTGAAGAGACGCAGCTATCACCCATTAGTGACCTCCAAGACTTCCTGCTGCCAGCTCTGCCAGCTCTGTCCGGAGAACAGTGCTTTGATTATTCAACTGGGATTCCCACTCATTCAGGGGCCCATCTGGTGTGAAAGTGAAGACGGGTAAATCCCGCAGCTTCTAAAGATGGAGAGGAGATAGTGGACTGAGGTGACGGGGGCTATCCACAGGGCTTAATACAGGATTGCGGCAGGAGTCAGACACCAATATGAAACAAATTAGGCACACAGGGAATACAGTTGTGGGCTACTCACAGGAGCAGCAGCATGGTCTAAAGTTAGTTCAGGCTCTGCGAAGGATAATGCTGGGAGGGTTTAGGGTTTAAAAATTTTTAAACAAAAGTTGATGGACCATCCCAACAAATAAACCTCAATCCTGGTGGCTCTTTCACCACCACCGAGATAGAGGGGCTCAGCAGTGTAGAGATTTGTAGAAGGGCTTAAGAAATACGGACAACAAGACACAGGGGGGCTGCAGACACCTGGAAGAAGTCTGAGGTCAAAGGGGCGACTGGATCACAAGGGGACCTAGGAACAGGAAAGAACAGCAGACATCTTCTAGGTGCAGGCTGGGCCAGATGATTGGGTCTGAAGGAGAACGCAGACTTCTGAGTCCTGACTCAAATGCCAAGCTTGATGATTCCACATATTGCCAATCTCTCGAAGGAACCGGCAATGGATTTTTGGGACTTGAAAAAAATATCAAATCAAATGGTTACGGGGGAAAAGAAGGGAAAAAAAAACCTGTTGTTTTTGCTTGCTGAGGAAGTCATAGTGGCTAGATGAGGATGGACCGTGGATATCCATCGATTCGCACGGGTGGTTGAGAGGAAGGGAGCTCGACTGAGCCTAGGGCCTCTCCCATGAGTCTTGCATGTAGCAGCAAACATCTTTCTGCCAGAAGGACACAATTTTCGTCGCTGTCATTTTCAGATATCGCCTTTGCCCAGTTGTGGACCCAAGCCAGAAGCCCCACAAGCACTCCTCCACCGTCTCCTAGAGCCGCCACAATGTTTGCTGGCGACAGAGCGACCATGACGCATGCTGCTGCCTCCAGTGCCGACTGCCGTACGTACGCCTCCTTGTGCCGGCCAACCCCTCGAGTTTGCAGCAGCTCCAAAAGCACCGTAGCAAGAGGGAGGGTCTCAACAGATGGAGCGGAGCAGGTGACGAAAACTCCTAACACTTGCAAGAGTCTACCAAAGACGAAAAAATCACGGGACACCAGACGGAGGGTGCCATCGACCTTGTCGTAATCTCTCATTAAGGGTAGGATGAAGGTTGCCGCGTAAGGCGCAAACCGGTTCATCCTCGTGCTGGTTCCTGGCATTTTACCACCCAAGTGCGCCTCCCTTCTTAGGCGCAGGGACGTGTGGCCCCATCGTCTCGAAGTGCCTGCCTCCCTTGTGCCAGGCAACAGTGGCAGCTCCCGCTCATACCAAGGCAGAGACAGCAGACCATGGGACTGGCGACCCTCAACCCAAGGTCCAGCACCGGTAGTAGGTTCAGGGATACTGCCCACAGGTGGTGGTCCCCACCACGGAGTTTTTGAAGATCCCTCAGCAGGCGTGAGCTCCCGCACCAGAGACCTCTGCTCAGAGAATGACTGGGAGTTCTCCAGCGACGACAGCTCGAGAGCAGCATCCGCCATGGCGTCGAGGATCACCAGCCGATGGCTGCTGTCCATGTGGGGGGAGTATACCTCCTTCAAAAGAACTTTGAGAGAGGGAAGGGTGGAACAGGTGAGCAAGGCCACGAGGGCCCTGTGGCGCTTTTCCGCAGCTCCAGCTTCTGCTCCTGCCACAGTTATGTCATTCGGACTCACTCGTAGAAGCTTTCTCGTCAGCTGTGCACCGTAGTCATCAAGTTCATCCGGCATTGCCCTAATTAGGCCTTCTACCACATCGAGGGCGCGAGTAACTGCATCAGGGTCATCGGTCTTGTTGAATGCTAACATGCAGAGGCGTAGCTGTCCCGGGACCTTCTCCCTCTCCAAATCCTCCTCATCCTCGGAAAGGTCATAAGGCTCCAATGAGTCTTCTTCGCTGTCCTGGCTATCGGAGATCGAGTCCTCAGGGTCGCTAGCACCAGCCTTGTCCTCGTCCTCGTCCTTGTCATCGTCATCGCTAACAAAGCCCATTTGCTTCCCTCCTCCTTTTGTCACATTGATCACAGCATCAGGGTCATCTTCCTCCATAGCCAGCTTCTCTCGCCGCTCCCTTCTTCTGCTTCTTARCCTCTTCTTCGCCATGGTTTCAACACCCCCTTCCCTTTCCTTGCCCGGATMTCCTCCTCCTCTGAACWGCTGCGATTCACCCTCCTGCCCTCCTTTGTCCATCCTCTCCACTGWTTCTTCCCCGCTTTCTCTGTCCGCTCYCTCTCCCCGTTCCTGCTTTCCGAGCCTCACAGCTGCCGCCGCCACACGTCCTTTCCCTCCTGCCATATCATCATCCATTAATGACCCTTGCTCCTCTCCCAGGRGCTCTCTTTTCACACGCCCGGGATCCCCCCACCATCCCTCCTCCCACAGAAATGCATCCCCTGCCCCGCTCTCTCCCTCTTCCTCGAAAA